GGAGTAGCCCCCCTCTAATGGGCTATAATGCAGTGCGACAGGGTGTAACCCCCTCTAATGGGCTATGATGCAGTGCAATGGGGAGTAGCCCCGTTTGATGAGCTATAATGCAGTGCGACAGGGAGTAACCCCCCCCCACAATGGGCTAAACTGCAGTGAGACAGGGAGTAGCCCTCCAAGGGGCTACAATACACTGCGACAGGGAGAACCTCCCCCAAAGTGCTGTAATGCAGTGCAATGGGGAGTAACCCCCTCTAATGGGCTGTAATGCAGTATAACAAGGAGTAGCCCCCCCCACCAATGGGCAGTAACTCTCCCCCCTTAATACAGTGCAGTGAGGAATAACCCTGTCTAATGGGCTGTAATGCAGTATAACAGGGAGTAGCACCACCCCACCAATGGGCAGTAACTCTCCCCACTTAATACAGTGCAGTAAAGAATAACCCCCTCTAATGGGCTGTAATGCAGTGCAATGGGGAGTAACCCCCTTTTAGTACAGTGCAGTAAGGAATAACCCCCTCTAATGAGCTGTAATGCAGTGCAATGGGCAGTAACCCCCTTTTAATACAGTGCAGTAAGGAATAACCCCCTCTAATGGGCTGTAATGCAGTGCAATGGGGAGTAACCCCCTTTTAATACAATGCAGTAAGGAATAACCCCCCTCTAATCGGCAGTAATGCGTTGCAACAGGGTGTAACCCCCTCTAATGCAATGCAATAGGGTGTGGGAGGTTAAACCGGAAGCCCATGCCTACCGTGGCGATACGCCGCCTGGGAGTTGTAGTCCACCCTCCCAGACCTCACAATGACTGGGGAAAGAAAGCAACTACAACTCCCGACGGGCGCCGCAGGGGAGGGCAGCCCCGGGGCCCGCCGGGAGCTGTAGTCCGACGCCATCGGAAGTGGACTACAGCCGGAGGCCTAGCCGCGCCGGAGAGCGCGTTTTAAACCCGTTACCCATTTTCAGAAAGGTTCGGGTGGTGGGGGGCGGCAGGGAAATAGAAGAGCCGCTCACCGGGGTGTCGAAGGAGAAGGCGCACTCGTCCTTATGGACCCGGTCGCCGGGCCTCGGCACCCGGATGCTGGACAGCACCGACAGCAGCAGGTCGCCGTGCTCCGCCATCACTCAAGTCCGAGGAGAGGCTGGCGAATGGGTGGAGCCGTTGTATGGTCCCGCCCATTACCACCAGCCGGCCAATCACAAGGGGCTTTACGGATGGTCCGGCCAACCGGACCCCGCCTGGCAACACGCACGACCAATAGGAGTGGGGCGGTACAGGGGAGGGCCAATCGAAGACAGCATGGCAACCGTTCTAGCCAATCGGCTACCCACAGTGCGCGATGACTGACGGGCATTTTGCCCAATCGGCAACCATCATTTTCTCGTCTGACTTCTGCCGCAGGTGCAGTGGAGCGGAAAAACGGAGAGGCGGCCAATCGGGAGGTCCGGCACCGCCCCTTCCCGTTGTGACGGCTGTAACTGACACTTGTATCGCCAATCAGTAGAGAGAACATCGCCTGTTTGCGGCATTCCACCCCATTCGCCGGTCCCAACCAATCGCCACCCGTGCTTGTAGTCCGGGTTGCGCCACTCTGACCAATGGGCAAAGGTCTTCTCGAACCGGATCCCGCCTACTTGCCATTTCACCAATGAGTGTGCGGCCATGGCCTCGATTGACGTGCATGCAAGCCAGTCGTCGGCTGCCCCGTCTCCACTCCCGGTCAATCTATTCTTTCGCCCGCCCCTCAGCGTTCAATTTGATTGACGGCTCATTCTGTCCAATCGACAACTGTGTGCCCGCCCATATCTGATTCTGATTGGCCTATTTGAAGCAGTGTCTGCTGCTGGGGTAAACCAACGAATCGCGATGCCGGCGAGTCTTGATGGACGGGGTTCTACACCAATGAGAAATGCACGTTGTTTTCGGGGACGGTGGCATGAGCCAACAGCAGCGGAGACATCCGTTTCTGCCCTCCCAACCCCATCAGGGACCATGCCCCGGGTTTTATTTGTGTTTTGCAGAAAGATTTAATCTTGCATTTGGTTTCACGTCTCCACTTCTATTTTCAACAGTCAATGTAGCGAGGGTGAAATGTTGCATCGTTAAAATTTTGATTTGGGAGAAGGCTTGCTGTTGTCTTCGCATTTCCCGCCTTTCTCCAACCGCCGCCGACTTTTGAAGGAACCAATCGGCGCCCAAACGGGCGACAGAGGCCCCGCGAGGCAAGAGGTGATTGGCTAATATGGGGCCGCCCGGAGTACCGAAAGCCGGTACCACGTGGGGTGGGCGAATCGGATTGGTTGATACCCGGCCGGTTTTGAACGGTGCGGGGGGCCGGTTCGGCCAATCGCGGGGCTTCGGGATGAACCGGCCTGAGAGGTGATTGGACGGAAGGGTTTCACCGGCCACGTGGAGCGCCGTTTGAACCGATTGGTTCAATCGGGCAGGCGGCTCCGCCAATCCGATGAGCCGGTCGGCAGAAGGGGGCGGGTCGGAAGGCGTCCACGTGGGATTGGCGAGTAGCCGATTGGTGCAGCGTCGACAAGGGAGGCGGGCCCACCGGTAGTTTCGGTTTAATGATTGGCCGATCCCGACGAAGTGGGCGTGTCCTGTGGGCAGGAGGGAGATTTTGAAATCGGGAGAGCCGGAAGGACACTTAGTCTCCGCTGGGCAGCGGAGCGGTGCATGGGCGGAGGGTTTACGTCGCTCCTTTTTTTTTGCTGCTTAGTACTGCACTTGGTCCTTTTCCTTCCTTCCTTCCTTCAACGCAACAAGAGAGAGGTACAAGCGCCTGAACTTTCCTTCGATCCCTTACACTTTCTGCATTTTCGAACATATTTAATCCTCCAATGCAACTGGCCTCTTTTTCATCTCTTTTAGCTTTTTGTTTCGCTTGCAAAACCTCCAACGCAACCGGGAGGAAAATCGAAATTTAAGAAGCTTTTCATATCCCTCACCCCATTTTCCCCGCCTCACCCCAGTCTTTCGCGGAGTGCGCAAGCGTCGGCCCGGCGTTGGCTAGGGATGAGTGGAGTGGTTGGAGAGTGCCGGCACCGCGCCTGCGCACCTGTGTGCGAGGCGCTGGTGCTGCTGTTGCTGACACCGGCGCAGGCGTGGTCCTCTTTTCTCTCCTCTCTTACCCCCCCCATCGAAGGGCTTGATGGGAAGGGGGTGGCAGTCCTCCCGACTCCAGCGCCTGCGCCCTGACGCCGTCTCGCCCTCAGGCTGTTAACAGTTGGGATTCAAATCCCTGCGGGGCGGAGCGGAGTAATGTGGCCACGCCCCCTCTACATCCGGGCTTTCGAGAGTGGAGGCAGTGGGGCAAGGGGGAGGTCAGGAGCTTTGACCTCTGACCTGCTGCCCACTCCTTCTGGCTCCTCCCTCCTGCCCCACCTTGGGGTGAGTAGGATGGGGGTGGGGGGTGTTAGAATTGTCTGTATTCTCTTGCCTGACCAACCAGGGTGGGGGGGGGAAAGAGGGGGAAGGCTGTTGGTAGTGACATTTGACCTCTGACCTGCTGCCCACCCTTGCTCTCTCCTTCTGCCCCACCTTGGGGTGGGTGGGGTGGTGAGAATTGACCGTCTCCTCTCGCCTGACCAACCAGGGTGAGTGGGTGGTGGGGGGTGGTAATTGATGTTTGGGAGTGGGGAAGAGTGGTGGTGGTGAGTTTTGACCTCTGACCTGCAGCCCCTTCTCGCTCTGTCTCCTTCTGCCCCACCTTGGGGTGAGATTTGACCGTCTTGCCTCTACTGACCCAACCCTGGGGTGGGTGGGCAGTTAGTGTTGGGGGTGGGGGAGGGGGTTTCGGTGAGACTTGACCACCTGCCTGCTCTTGCCCACACTGGGGTGAGTGGGAAGTTTGGGGGCTTTAAGACTTGACTGAATCCTCCAATTTGGGTTGGGTGGGTCATTGGCATTGGGGGTGGGTGATGGTGAGATCTGACCTCTGACCTGCTGCCCACTCATTCTCCTCCTGCCAATGGGCTGAGGTAGTGGGAAGTGGGTGGCGGGGGAAGGACGTGACTGTGTGTCTCATCTTGACCGGTGACGCTGAGGGGATCTCGGGGTGGGGAGAGGTAAGAGTGGGGGAAGGTGGGAGAGGCTATTTTCGACCTGGAACCTGCTTTGTGCCCCTTCCCACCCCAAGGCTAAATGAGGGCATGGCATTTTAGCCCTGGGCGCCTCTAGACGACGGGATCTCGATCAGATGGGCCGAGGAGAGGCGAACGGAGTTTGATTTAGATAAACGCGAGGGGCTGCGTTTTGGGAAAGGCACATCAGGGCAGGACTTACATGCTTCATCGAGAGGTCCCGGGGGGGGGGGGGGGGGGAGTGTTGCTGGGTGGTGCGGGTTCATAGTTCCTTGAAAGTGGACTCGCGGGTAGACGTGGCGGTGAAGGTGGTGTTTGGTACGCTTGCCTTATTGGTCAGTGCGTTGAGTATAGGAGTTGGGAGGGTCATGTTATGGCTGTATTGGTTAGGGCCACTTTTGGAATATGATGCTCAATTCTGGTCTCCCTGCTACAGGAAGGAGGTTGTGAAACTTGAAAGGGTTTCAGAAAAGGATGTTGGAGGGTTTGAGCTACAGGGAGAGGCTGGGGCTATTTTCCCTCCCCCCGGAGCATCGGAGGCTGAGGGGGTGACCTTATGGAGGTTTATAAAATCGTGAGGGGCATAGACAGGGTAAATAGACGAGGTCTTTTCCCCAGTGCAGGGGATTCCAAGGTGAGAGGGGAAAAATCTAAAAGGGGTGACCTTTTCACGGAGAGGGTGGTGCGTGTATAGAAGGAGCTGCCAGAGGGA